AACTGCAATGCAAGAATTAAAATATGGTATGTAACAGAGAGTGAATAGGTGGCTATTCTAGATTAAGCATTTAGAAAAAACTTTTATGAAAAGATGACAGAGAACCTTAGTTATGACTGTTAGAGAGAAGCCAGCCTTGTTAATATGGGAGTGGGAGTGGGTGGAGGAATGGGAAGAGCATTCCAACAAAGAAAATAGCTGGTACAAATGGGAGCTCTTTGTTAGGCAGTAACAAAGATTCTCATCTAACTCTTCAATATCCATTTATTTCTCTAGACATAAGACCAACACATTTCACTACTTTGCCAGTGCTCAGCAAACTTCAATTTATTATGGTCTGTCTTTTTGTTTTATCTTTTTTTTTTTTTTTTGAGACAAAATTTTTGCTCTTGTCACCCAGGCTGGAGTGCAGTGGCATTACCTTGGCTCACTGCAACCTCCACCTCCCAGGTTCAAGTGATTCTCCTGCATTGGCCTCCCAAGTAGCTGGGATTATAGGCACCCACCATGCCCAGCTATTTTTTTTTTTTTTTTGTATTTTTAGTAGAGACGGGATTTCACCATGTTGTCCAGGCTGGTCTTGAACTCTGGGTGATGGACCCAGCTTGGCCTCCCAAAGTGCTGGGATTATAGGTGTGAGCTACCATGCCTGGTGGTTTAACTTTTAAAAAACATCTTTCAGCTATAATTCACATACTGTAAAACTCACCTGTTAGGTGGACAATACAATGGTAGTATATTTACAGACTTGTGCAAAATGACCAGGATGCAATTTTAGAACATTTTGATTACTTCAAAAAAAAGCTTACAAATAATGAGACTCCTCTTTCTGTTGCTCTGCTTTTATTTCTTTCTCTCTCTTTCTCACCAAGTAATGGTTGAAAACTTCTCACTTTTCTATATTGGCCCACTGACCAGTAATTGGGTAAAACTACTTAAGAGCATCTTCCAACACTAACTTACTAATTTTGTCTTTGTGGTTTTCTTTCTTTCCTGAACTTCCTAACTTGTTCTTTAGTGGACAGTGTAATCTTCATTATCCTGGGGAAAACTAAAATTGTTATAGCAAGAATCAATACAAATTTTACTATTTTTAGACTTCAGGTAAGTCTCTTAAGAATAAAATAGGCTGCATGGGGTGGATCACCCCTATAATCCCAGCACTTTGGGAGGCCAAACTGTGAAAATCGCTTGAGCCTAGGAGTTTGAGACCAGCCTGGGCAACATAGTGAGACTCCATCTCTATAAAAACAAAAAATATTAGCCAGGCATGGTGTCACATGCTTATAGTCCCAGATTCTTGGGAGGCTGAGTTGGGAGGATTGCTTGAGCCTAGGGGTCTGAGGGTGCAGTGACCTATGATTGTACCACTGCACTACAGCCTGGGTGACAGAGCAAGACCTTATCTCTGGAAGGAAAAAAAAAAAAGAATTAGAATAAAATGTTAAGGTCCTGAAAGGATAGAAGAAAGTAATTAGTACTAAAACAAAACCAAGAAACTAAAATAAGATGCAGATGTACCTGATCCCTTCCAAGGCCCCTACCTACCTCCTCAGGATACCTACTCTGTCTGAGACTTTGTTAAGGATCCAAGTTAATGCATAATGTGTACAGAACACAACACTAGTAAGGTCCTCGTATTAACAGATCCCTAGTAAGGCCCTTCTTGTATGGGAATATGGGGTCTTCCTTAGGAGGGTGCTCCTTTAGGGACCTCCTAGATTACCCCAGCTATGGCAATATCAAAGGGAAAGTCCTGTTGGTATCAGAGAGAGTCAGCATGGTGGGAAGACCTCCTCTGATTGTAATTCATTCACTCAACATTTATACCAGGCACTCCATACTGTGACTTTATGACAGTAAAATTTAAGTGAACAATGCACTGTAAAGAGTTGTAATTTAGTAGATTTCACAATAAATATTTATCAAACTTATTGTTTATAATATTCCTGAATAAAAGTTTTACTATGTTTTCATCTATTCACATAAATTAATGTCAATAGCCCTTGTCAATGTTATTACACCAAAACTAAGCTCTTTAAAAACGATTAAACATTCCACTAAATAACTGCCATACTTCTTCATTTGCTTTTTGAAAATAGTAAAGTCAGCAGGAGGGGAGTTCTTGCGAGCATTTATTCAAGTTCCCTCCTGTTATCCTTCCCTTACTTCCAATCAACTCTTGCTAACCCTTGCAAACATTTTGTTCACAGAGAGAAGTTGTAAATAAAAATTTTCATTATAGAAGCAATAATAGGCTTATTTCAATAAAATTCTGATTAGAAGCCAAATACTATACACATGGTATTTCTCCAGTCTTTGATTTTTAAATGAAAATATTTTAGCAGATTCTTCTAGACAGCTAATATATTGGATCTTCATTAATAATTGTTTCTTTTCTAGAGATGAGCTTTTGCTTTGTTGCCTAGGCTGGAATGCAGTGGTTCATAGGCATGATCACAGTGCACTCAAGCCCAAATCCCTGATTTCAAGGAATCCTGCCTCAGCCTCCTGAGTAACTGGGACTACAGGCATGTGCCATCATACCAGTTCTATAATAATTTATAATTAAATATATTCTAGAAAAATATTCCCTTTATTTTTACCCTACTGTACTTCTTATATTAACTTTTTTTCCAACAGGTTTATTAAACAGCTACACTAGCTAAATATTAGAGGGATACAAAGATATACAAATGCTGGCATAGCCTAGAGAGAATGCCAGATTCCTCTTCACCCTCATATAACTTCCTGATTCTACCTAGGTGTCTCTTTCTTCAGTTCTAGTTTCTTATGAGATTTTCTCTCTCTTCACCATGGGACAGGTGGGATAAGAACTGTGTAGAATGTGACTTGGAATTATATGCTGAAGAGACAGTGGCAGTATTTATTCTCAAATTCCTGTCCTATCTTAGTCTGTTTTGTGCTGATATAACAGAATGCCTGAGACTGGGTAATTTTAAGTGAGCCAAAATTTATTCACTTTCAGCTCTGGAGGCCAAGAATTTCAAGAGTGAGGGGTCAGCATCTGATAAGGGTGTTCCTGCTGCTGTAGGAACATCTCATGGCTGAAGGGCAAAAAGTGGGTGAGACAAAGAGAAAGAGAGAGCGAGCACATGCAACGGAAAAGTGGGTCAAATTTACTCTTTTATTCAGGAAGCCACTCTTGGAGAACTAACCCACTCCAGTGATAATGGTATTAATCCATGTGTAAGGGCAGAGCCCTAATGATCTAGTCACCTCTTAAAGGTCCCATCTCGCAACAATAGATTATGTTGCCAATACATGGACTTTGGGGGACACATCCAAGCCATAGCACCTCCTATTTGTCAATGGTTTGTTTCAGTATGCCAGAATGCTGAGACTGCTCCTAAAGCTATCCCACATGGTGACAGAAGTCTGGCAGAAAACAAGAGAGTCTTATTATGGCAAAAACAGGCTGCTCCCAGGCTGCATCTTCCTACAGTTTGTTGTAACAACAGCTCTGGGACAAGAAGTGGGCCAAGAGGATATAATATGAGATGTAACGAATGCCAGTATAGCCTGCTTTTTGCCTAGGCAAAATAAAGACAGTGGGTGAGGCACATCTTGCTGGAAGATTTGAGTTTGGAGAAAAGCCGTCATGGTAACAAAGAGTATACGTTTGCCTGGACTTGTCCTTCATGCATATAAATCCCCTGGAGCATCCGACAAGAAGATGTAGCTATAGCGTAATGGGATTAGAGTGTGACTGTCACCATGGCTCAGTCTGTCTAATAAGGCACAACTGAAATACACCATGAGTCTTGATCTCAAACAGTTTTATAAGTGTTTCTGGCATATTATTAACTGAAATGTTTTATGATTTGGAGCTAACTGTTAAGTAAAATATATTACAACTTTCTACTTGACAAACATACTTTATGTGTAAAGCTATAGTTTTTGTATAACTGAAAAGAATATATCAATGATGAAAATTTAATTCTTATTCTCATAACTGAGTTTTCTGTTGAGCTGGCAATGTAATAAAAATACATATACACACTCTATAATAAAGAATAAGCATTTACATTTATATATTTATTCTGTAAAATGACCTCAATTTCAGATATTCATCTTCAGTCACCTAAATCCCTTTAAAAGAATCTTTCTTTAAATAATATCCAAGGTATTGTCTCTCTTGTTAAATCTATTTTTAGTAGATTTACTTAGGTATAATTGACATTTAATAAACTACCCATATCATGAATACACCTGTAAAACCATCACCACAATCCAGACATGAACATAGCTTGAATACACCCCCCAAAATTTCCTCTTACATCCTTTTTTAAATCCTTCCTTCCTATTTCTCTGTCTCAAGGCAACTACATATTTGCTGCCTATCACTATAGATTTGTTTACATTTTCTGGAATTTTATAAGAACAGAATGAGTGGGCATGTTCTCTTTTCTGTATGGCTTCTTTTACACAGCATAATTACTTGGAGATGCATCCATATTATTTTGTGTATTTCATTGTAGGAATATACAATTTGTTTATTTGTTAATAGGCATTTGTGATGTTTCCAGTTTTGGGCTATTACAAATAAAGCTGCTATAACATTTAGGTGCAAGTAACAAGTGTAACTATTTCTCTCAGGTGAATACTTAAAAGTGAAATGGTTGGATCACCTTGTAGTAGTATATACTACTCAAAGGCTTTCCAAATTGGTACAACCATTTTACACTCCATTAGCAATGTATGAGGGTCCCTGTTCTTCCATATACTTGCCAATACTTAGTATGATCAGCCTTTTAAATATTAGCTATTATAAATATATGTGTAGTAGTATGATAATTCAGGTTATTCAGGGTTTTAAAAATTCAGCCATTCCAGTAGGTATGTAGTGGCATCTAATGGTGGTTTTAAACTGCAATTCTCTGATAATTAATGATGTTGGGCCTCTTCCGTGTATGTGAAGTATGTGTTCAAATTCTTCATTCATTTTTATTAAGTTGTTAATTTTCCTATTACTGACTTTTGAGAGATCTTCACATAGTCTTTATCAGAAATGTAATTTTTGCTTTTCTCAAACACTCTAACACTTTAATGTTTTTGTTAGTTTTTTGCATCAGGGTTATACAAGCCTCTTCAAGAGTGATTTTGGAATCTTCCTTTCTTCTTGATTATGTGTAAGAGTTTCTCTAGAACTGGCATTAATTCTTCTATGAAGGTTTGATAGAACTCACCAATGATAAATGGGCTTTGAGTTTTGTTTCTGGGAGGATTTTTAATTACAAATTCAATTTCCTTAATAAATATAAGGTATTTGGGCTATTTTGAATGACTTTTGACAGTTTATGTTTTTCAAGGAATTATCCATTTTGTCTAAACTGTCAAACTTATTTTACAAAGTTGTTCATATTTCTTTAAATATCTGTAGTATCTTTAGTGATGTCACATAAAGATATTCCTGATATTGATAATATGTGAATCTTTCTTTTTTTTCCTTGTCAGTCTTGCTTATTTTCAGTTTTATCAATCTTCTCAATAACCATTTTTTGTTATTGTGTTTGTTTTCATTTTATTTATTTTAGCTTTTTCTTTTTATTTCCTTTTTCTGCTTACTTTGTGGTTCTTCACTCTATTTTTAAAATTTCTTAAGACAAAAACTGAGGCAATTAGAGACTTTTCTTCTTTTATAGTATAGTTATATAATATAGTTGTTTATTTTCATAAACAACTGCTTAGTAGCTCCTATAAAATTTGATGTATTGTTTTTATTTTCATTCAAAAATTTTTCTTTTTTTTTTTTTGAGACAGAGTTTTGCTCTGTTACCCAGGTTGGAGTGCAATGGAGTGATCTTGGCTCACTGCAACCTCCATCTCCTGGGTTTAAGCCATTCTTCTGCCTCAGCGTCCCAAGTAGCTAGGACTACAGGCATGTGCCACCACACCCAGCTAATTTTTGTATTTTTAGTAGAGTCAGGGTTTCACCATGTTGGCCAGGCTGGTCTCAAACTCCTGACCTCAGGTGATCCACCCCCTCAGCCTCCCAAAGTGTTGGGATTACAGGCATGAACCCCATGCCTGGCTTCAAAATATTTCCTAACTTTTAAAAATTTATTATTTGATCATAAGTTACTTAGAATTGTGTTATTTAACTTCTAAATTTTGGGATATTTTTCCAGAAATCTTTCTGTTACTGATTTCTAACTAAATTCCATTGTGGTCAGAGAATACACTTTATGTTATTTACATCATTGAAAACTTATTGAGACTTGATTTATGGCCCAGAACATGGTCAGTAAATGATTCATGTGTATTTTTAAAAAATACATTTATTGTTCTTTCTGGTATTTTAATAAATTCAATTGGTCAAGTCTGTTGATTATATGTTCCAATCTTCCATATTATTACAATTTTCTGTCTACATTTTCTATCAAATGTTGAGCCTGTAGTATTGAAATCTCTGACTGTTATTGTGGATTTGTCAATTTCTCCTTGCTGTTCTATCAAGTTTTCCTTCATTTATTTAATTATTTAAGGTGCATACTCATTTAGGATGGTTATGTCATCTTTATGCTTGACTCCTTTATTGTTATGAGATGTCCATCTATGTCTCTGGTAGTCCTCATTCTGAAGTCTACTCTGTATGATATTATAATAATATAGCCACACTACAGCCTTTTCACTGGCTTGTTGCAAATGTAATATACCTATATCCATCTTTTTACCTCTCTACAGAAAGTATGCAAGCCAGAAGTCAGTGGAGCAACATATATAAAGTACTGAAAGAAGAACACAACTATCAAACCAGAGTTCTATGGCTCATGAAAATCTTTTATAAAAATGAAAATGAAATGAAATAAAAATATTTTCAGATTTTTATTATCAGCAAACCTGCACTATAGGAAATATTAAGATAACTTCTTCAGGCAGAAAAAAGATGAGTATAATACTAAATGCAAATTTGGATCTATGTGAAGAAATGAAGACTTCTGGAAATGGGTAAAACTGTTAAGAATGATCACAGCATTGTTAAGTTGTTTTCAGGAATTATCCATTGCTTGTGTGTCTTCAGCCTTTAACTATAGTATAGAGTTTTAAATATCTTTGATCAATGTTTTTGATAGATAAAATAAATGGAATACAATTTTTATTATATCCTCTAAAATATTGCCAGTTAACTTTTCGACACCTCAGCATTTTCAAGCTATGTCTTTTAAGTATGTGGTGTTTTCATTGCTATGTAATTCATGGTCAATGTTTCTTACTAAATTCACTTTACAAGTTGGTGTGTTTCTGCAAACAGAAACATAAATTATATGGCTAACATCATTTACTAATACCCTGGTGACAATAAGAATGAATATACTTCAAATTTTGACTGAACAAAATCCGATCATACACGGTTTAAAATATTTATGTCTTGGTTCCCTTCTTTAAAAATATTTATTCGTTCATACAGTCAACAATAATTATCGAGTGCCAGGTACTATTCTAAACCCTGAAGACAAAGCAGTAAACAGAATCGTTACTCTCATGAAGCTCACATTAAAATGGAAGGAGACACAAAATTAACGAGTAAACAAATATATATATGTAATACATCAGATGATAAGTGCTATGAAGAAAAATATAACAGAGCAAAGTAGCAGAAAGTAGGGAGATTTTATTTTAAATTGAGAGATCATTGAAGTCCTCCATAATAAAATAACTTTGAACATAGATATGAATGAAGTAAAGGAATGAGAGCCTGAGACAGAAATGTGCTTGGTAAGTTCTAGGAACAGGAAAAGTGTCAACTGCTTGATGTAGAATGAGGGACAGAGCTAGAAGAAATGAGGTATCTGGGATGCCAGATTATGTAGGCCTTTTGGCAGGGATAGAAATTGGAATGTTATTTTTTGTGAGATGGAAAGGTAGTGAAGGGTTTTAGGCAGGAAAGGAATAGTATCTGACTAATGTTATCACTATGGATGCTGTGTGGAGAGGAGAGGGCACAATGGTCAAGAGAGGAAGCAGGGAGACCTGTATCAAAGATAAATACCATAGCACAGAAAAGTCATAGATCAACTTCATGTACCTTGTGCTCTATTGATAATATAATCCAAGTGTAAGTTTAAGGAGCAAAGGAACCAATGGTAGTTTCAAGCTTTCTGAATTTTCAGTTCTTCAAAATGAACTTTGTATTCATTTGGTGGCTTCTCTAAGGAGTGCTCTTAGCATTGGGGTTGGAATTTATTTCAGCATTGTTCTAGTGATCCACTGCTACACAATTAATAGCCTCCAAACTTAGTGGCTTAAAATAATGACAACATTGGTTTTGCTCACATATCCATCATTTTGGCAGGGTTCAACAGTTTGGCTCCTCTCTGTGCCACTTGGCATCAACTGAGAGGTCTGGAGCCATCTAAAGGCTGGGTTGCTCACATCTGGAAGCTGATACTGACTATCAGCTGTGTCCACAGATGGGGCTGTGGTCAGAATGCTTCATTGTGACCCTTCCATGTAACTCCATGGCATCCTCACAGCATGGTGACTTGGTTCTAAATGGCCAGAATCCCAATGTTATCTGGGTTCCAAGACTGAGCCAGGTGGAAGTAATAATAGTTGATCTAACTTAGCCTTGGAAGTCATGTATCATCCATTCTGGTGCTTCTGTTCATTACAAGTAAGTTTGTAAGGCTGGCCCATATACAAGAGAAGGAGAATTAGTTGCCACCTTCTGATAGGAAGAATATCAAACTCCACTACAAGACAGAAGTGAATTGGCAGACTGGGTGACCTTAGGAACATCTCCAGAACCAGAAAGGACAAATTTTCTTTGCTTGGCTTTAGGAGGACACAGAGGCTTTGAAGAAAAGTGTGTAAAAATCAAAAGAGATTTTAAAAACCTCAAAAGGCAGCAACAACTGAACCTGATACTTTGTTTCTTCAATAAACAGCAGCAAGCTTGCTATATTTTAGGAACCAAGAACCCAAGTCTTTAGGAAGTCTAATAAAGATGCAAAAATAAGTCCTGAGATCTTCTATAGAAGGGCCTATACCTCATTCATGTAGTCTTGATACCTAGCACTATATCTGCAATACTTAATAAATGTTAGCTAAATTAAATATTCGATTATGATAAGTATTACGTTAAGTTATATACAAAGATTTAAGGAAGCACAGAGGAGCAAGAAACACACCATAGGGGGTAATGGAAGGCTTCACAGAAGATTTGGCATTTAAATTCCGTCTTGAATGACTGATATTTTAGGTAAGGGGCATCAGAAATATCATATACAAAGGCATAGACCATGGTTAATGAAGAGAACAGCAAGTTCAAGTTTCTCCATGGCTAAAATGTATCCTTAACACAGAGTAGGCATTCAATAAATATTGCTGAATAAATGAATGAAGGAAGAGAGCTAGATGAACAGCCTAGAAAAGTAAGTTTTATGTTGTGCTGTCCATTTTGTGTTGCTGTAAAGGAATACCTGAGGCTTGATAATTTATAAAGAGGTTCATTAGGGTCATAGTTCTGCAGCCTACACAGGAAGCATGGCACCAGCAACTGCTTCTGATGAGGCCTCAGGAAGTTTCCAATCATGGTGGAAGGCAAAGGGCAAGCTGGCAGGTCACATGGTGAGAGGGAACAAGAAAGAGAGGAGGGAAGCCCCATACTCTTTTTAACAATCAACTCTTTTGTGAACTCATAGAGTGAGAACTCACTCATTAGTGGGGAGGGCACCAGGTTATTCTTGAGGGATCTACCCTCATGACCCAAACACTTCCCATTAGGCCCAGCCTCCAACATTGGGGATCATATTTCAACATGAGATTTAGAGGGTGTAAACATCCAAAACGTATTAGGTTGTGAATCTTTATGCCATGGAAGGAATGTTGGAATGTATCCCACACATGATGTGGTACTATATATGTTTACATAGGAAAATATTGTAACTAGAGGTGTGTTTAAGAGAAATAAGTTTTGTAAGAAGAATGTATTGAAATGAAGAAAGATTGAACTATGGCAGGTCAGACCAATTTGGAAGCTACTGCAAGGGTTTCCAAAGGTAAGACAGTAGAAACAGGGAGGAGAAAGAGCATACAAAAGAGTTTTGATGGTAGAATTGATAGATTTGTTAACTTGACCCAATTATTGGAAGTAAAAGTGAAGGAGAGAAGGATACTTCTTAGTTTTCTGGCTGGGTGACTAGATGATTGTGTCATCAAATGAGATAGAAAATATAGAGGAAGAATATATTTTGTATGTTTTGGGTTTTGTGTGTGTTTGTCATATAATCTGCTCAGTCCTATGTGTCATATATGGTGTGGGACACTGAATGGGAGATGTCTGGTGGACATTTGGAGCTATGTATACATCCCCCACATTCTGAGTCATATAATAATATTTAAACAACAGACTTAAAATTGGACCTCATCCAAGTAGCTGAAAACTAGCCTCATATTGTTTCTTCCTGGTTCAAAAATATTTCTGGGATATTTCATATGACAGTGGTGACCTACTTCTGCCCTATAGCATTTTCTCTGTTTTTCCCTGCTGCTATCAATATTATGAACTGGACACCACGTTGAGCACTGACTCTTGAAGATAACTTCTGTTTCTGTTTCATCCCTTGATTCTTCACATCCCTCATGTGGACCTCAGATTCTTATGATGGCAGTGAGATGACAACTCTGAAATTTCTGAAGGTGGCATGGTTGTTCTGTTCTAACCCAGGAGACACTGCTATGATGAAAAAAGAAAAAATACTCTTCCTAGCATTTGTGTGGCAGCCATGGAGGTGTGTCTCTTAGATCTCCCTTCAAGAGAATCTGTTGTTGGGCTCCTACTAGACGGGCAGTCTTCAGCCTCTGCATCTTTGGATCCACCATGGCATTTATGCTGAGGTCATGCTTCCTAAAGGCTTCTTTCAGTGAATGGCTGAGCATGGCAGTAACACTAGAGCTGAGCTCTTTCTGCCCAATATGGGATTTCTCTAATGGCACTTTTGCTCATGGAAACCTTTTGACTTCGCCAAGGCTTTCCTAGATATGATAATCTGAAAACCTTCCTGCATAGTGCTCTGAAGTCTATACCCCCTAACTACTGTTCTCTCCCCTTTTATCCCTCACAAGTGTTTTTGTCAATAAATTTCTCATATGTCTAATCCTGTATGAGCATTTGATTTTTGAAAGACATAAACTGACAAAAAATAATACCAGGAATGGGGTTGTAGGACTAGTGTGCTCACCACTTGGATGTCAGGGAAGACCCCATATCAAGTGGAATGTTGGGCACGTATACTCTTTGGAATAAGGTGGTGACTGAATTGCTGAAGATTTTTCTAGTGGTGGCATAGACCCTGCAACTGAGATAGCCATATCCGGGGGACAATGGGCCACTTTTTCATGCAGCTGTTAGACTTCCTTAACTTCTAATTTACTTCTTTACTGCATATAACATTTTCATTTAATAATGGATACTTCTCGGGGGAGGACTCAAGATGGCGCTGTGAGAACAACCCAGGATTGGAGCTCTTGTTGAATCCGCGGAGAGGTGAGTCAGAGCTGCATTTCCAGACTGATCTTTGTTGCCCACAGAACGGGGAAATTCCCAAGTATAAAGGAGACGTGGGACGCCAGGCAGTACCTCTGCCTGGCGAAGCCAGCAGCTGGGGTGGCAGCAGCTGGCCCTACCCAGCGCTCCCCACAGGGCGTGCTTGTCTGGATGCCCTGTTGAACCGGCAACCTGAGCCTTTAGAGGGCTGAACTTGAGACTGAATGAGACTTGGACAGTGGGCCAGCCCAGGGGATTGCAGGGACAGAGCGTTTGGGGTAGCCCAGTGGGACGAACAAAACCGCGATTTCAAACGCTCCCCGTGCAGATGGTCCAAGACGCTCTGTGGGGGAGGGGCTTCCACCATTACCGAGGCAACCCATCCCAACTGAGATACACGCCCACTGCTGACGCAGCCAGCCATTGCCGAGGCAACCCGTCCCTACTGAGATACACGCCCACTGCTGATGCAGCCTGCTGTTGCCGAGGCAACTCGCTACAACAGAGAGACTCTGCCGCAGGGCGTAGCTGGTGGCGGAGACCGCAGCAGAACAGCAGAGCCTGCAGAAACAGGGCGAACCACACAACAGCTGGGCGGAGCCTCGGCAGGCAAACAGTGGCTAGTCTGCCTCCTAGCTGGGCAGGACACCTCAACTGACATCCAAAAATAAAGCCCGAACCCCCCAACACAGAGCATTTGAGAAATAAAGGGTTTTTTTAATGAGCTCTGTTGCAGCAGAATCAAACATGGCAGCCAAACAGCCCTGAATGAACAACAGAGCTCACAGCTCAGCAATTGAGCTCCTATAAAGTACAGACTGTCTCCTCAAGCAGCTCCCTGACACCTCTATATCCAAAAGACTGACATTTGGCAGGCATCATCCTGGGACAAAGAGAGCAGAAAAAGAAACTGGTAGCATCCCTCACTGTGCCACAGCTGCTATAGGTGCACCCCAGACAAGCAGGGCCTGGAGTGGACCTCAGCAGTCGTACAGTGAAGGGGCTAGACGGGTAGAAGGAAAACCAAGTAACAGAAATACTTCATCATCAACAATCTGGGTGTCCACTCAGAGACCCAATCGAAAAGTCAGCAACTACATAGACGACAAGTGGATAAATCCACAAAGATGGGAAGAAACCAGCGCAAAAAGGAGGAAAACACCCAAAACCAGAACACCTCGCCTCCTAGAAAGGACCAAAACTCCTCACCAGCAAGGGAACAAAGTTGGACGGAGAATGACTGTGACGAAATGATGGAATTAGACTTCAGAAGGTGGATAATGAGAAACTTTTGTGAGTTAAAGAACATGTATTAAGTCAATGCAAAGAAACTAAGGAACTTGAAAAAATATATGAAAAAAGATTTGAGGCAATGATAACAAGAATGGATAACTTAGAGAGGAATATGAATGAATTAAAGGAGCTGAAAAACACAATATGAGAACTTCGCGAAGCATGCACAAGTTTCAATAGCCGAATTGACCAAGCAGAAGAAAGAATATCAGAAGTCGAAGACCAACTCAATGAAATAAAATGAGAAGCCAAGATTAGAGAAAAAGCTCAAAAAGGAATGAACAAAGTCTCCAAGAAATGTGGGACTATGTGAAAAGACCTAACCTACGTTTGATAGGTGTACCAGAAGGGGACAAAGAGAATGAATCCAAGCTGGAAAATACTCTTCAGGACATCATCCAGGAAAATTTCCCCGACCGAGCAAGACAGGCCAACACTCAAATGCAGGAAATACAGAGAACACCACAAAGATATTCTGCAAGAAGAGCAACCCAAGGCACATAATCATCCGATTCAACAAGGTTGAAATAAAGGAGAAAATACTAAGGGCAGCCAGAGAGAGAGGTTGGGTCACCCACAAAGGCAAGCCCATGAGACTCACAGCAGATCTCTCGGCAGAAACGCTACAAGCCAGAAGAGAGTGGGGGCCAATATTCAACATTCTTAAAGAAAAGAACTTTCAACCCAGAATTTCATATCCAGCCAAACTGAGCTTCATAAGTTAAGGAAAAATAAAATCCTTTGCGAACAAGCAAGTACTCAGAGATTTTGTCACCACCAGGCCTGCTTTACAAGAGCTCCTAAAAGAGGCACTACACATAGAAAGAAACAACCAGTACCAGCCATTCCAAAATCACACTAAATACTAAAGAGCATCAACATAATAAAGAATCTACAACAACTAACAGGTAAAACAGCCACTTAGCATCAAAATGGCAGTATCAAATTCACACATAACAATATTAACCCTAAATGTAAATGGACTAAATGCACCAATTAAAAGACACAGACTGGCAAATTGGATTAAAAGCCAAAACCCATCAGTGTGCTGTATCCAGGAAACCCATCTCACATGCAAGGATACACAAAGGCTCAAAATAAAGGGATGGAGGAAGATTTACCAAGCAAACGGAGAGCAAAAAAAAGCAGAAGTTGCAATTCTCATCTCTGATAAAATAGACTTTAAAGCAACAAAGATCAAAAGAGACAAAGAAGGCCATTACATAATGGTAAAAGGATCGATACAACAAGAAGAGCTAACGATCCTGAACATATATGGACCCAATGCAGGAGCACCCAGATACATAAGGCAAGTTCTTAATGACTAAAAATGAGACTTAGACTCCCACACAATAATAGTGGGAGACTTTAACACTCCACTGTCAATATTAGACAGATCAACCAGACAGAAAATCAACAAGGATATCCAGGGCTTGAACTCAGACATGGAGCAAGCAAACCTGATAGACATTTACAAAACTCTCCACCCCAAATCCACAGAATACACATTCTTCTCAGCACCACATCACACCTACTCTGAAATTGACCACATAACTGGAAGTAAAGCACTGCTCAACAAATGCAAAACAACTGAAATCATAACAAACAGCCTCTCAGACCATAGTGCAATCAAGTTAGAACTCAGAATAGAGAAACCAACCCAGAACCGCACAGCTTCATGGAAACTGAACAACTGGCTCTTGACTGTTGACTGGGTAAACAATGAAATGAAGACAGAAATAAAGAAGTTCTTCGAAACCAATGAGAACGAAGACACAACATGCCAGAACCTCTGGGACACATTTAAAGCAGTCTCTAGAGGAAAGTATATAGCAATAAGTGTCCATATGAGGAGAATGGAGAGATCCAAAATTGACACCCTATCATCAAAATTGAAAGAGCTAGAGGAGCAAGATCAAAAAAACTCAAAACCCAGCAGAAGACAAGAAATAACTAAGATCAGAACTGAACTGAAGGAGATTGAGACACGAAAAACCCTTCAAAAAATCAATAAATCCAAGAGCTGGTTTTTTGAAAAGATCAACAAAATAGACCGACCACTAGCCAGATTAATTAAAAATAAAAGACAGAACAACCAAATAGATGCAATAAAAAATGATAAAGGGGAAATCACCACAGATTCCACAGAAATTCAAACCATCATCAGAGAATATTACAAACAACTCTATGCATATAAACTAGTAAACCTGGAAGAAATGGATAAATTCCTGGACTCCTGTGTCCTCCCAAGCCTAAACCAGGAGGAAGCTGAAACTATGAATAGACTAATAACAAGGTCAGAAGTCGAGGCAGGAATTAAGAGCCTACCACACAGAAAAAAGCCCAGGTCCAGACGGGTTCGCAGCCGAATTCTCCCAGACACACAAAGAGGAGCTGGTACCATTCCTTCTAAAACTATTCCAAACAATCCAAAAAGAGGGAATCCTTCCCAAATCATTTTACGAGACCAACATCACTCTGATATCAAAACCCGGCAGAGACCCAACAAGAAAAGAAAATTTAAGGCCAATATCCATGATGAACATAGATGCAAAAATCTTCAATAAAATATTGGCAAGCCGATTGCAACAGCAAATCAAAAAACTTATTCATCATGATCAACTAGGATTTATCCTGGGGATGCAAGGCTGGTTCAACATACGCAAGTCTATCAACGTAATTCACCACATAAACAGAACCAAAAACAAAAACCACATAACTATCTCAATAGACACAGAGAAGGCATTTGACAAAATTCAACAGCCCTTTATGCTAAAAACCCTCAATAAACTTGGTATCGATGGAACGTATCTCAAAGTAATAAAAGCTGTTTATGACAAACCAACAGCCAATATCATACTGAATGGGCAAAAACTGGAAGCATTCCCTTTGAAATCTGGCACTAGACAAGGATGCCCTCTCTCACCACTCCTATTCAATATAGTACTGGAAGTTCTAGCCACAGTAATCAGGCAAGAAAAAGAAATAAAGGGTATTCAAATAGGAAAGGTGGAAGCCAAATTGTCTCTATTTGCAGACGACATGATAGTATACCTAGAAGACCCCATCGCCTCAGCCCAAAATCTCCTGAAACTGATAAGCAACTTCAGCAAAGTCTCAGGATATAAAATCAATGTGCAAAGATCACAAGCATTCGTCTACACCAATAACAGACTTAAAGAAAGCAAATAAAGAATGAACTGCCATTCACAATTGCCACAAAAAGAATAAAATACCTTGGAATACAACTTACAAGGAACGTAAGGGACCTCTTCAAGGAAAACTACAAACCACTGCTCAACAAAATCAGAGATGACA